TACCCCTCAGGCCAGACGGCTGTGGAGAGGACATTGGGGACACGAATCCCACTGTCACTTCCCAGGTGAAGAGCAAGTGTTCAGGCTTCTTTGCAGCCATGACACAAGCAGGTAAGACCACAGTAAGATCACAGCTTTGCAAGCAAAGTAGCAAGAGCATTCCAGTCCTAAACTAGCTGTCTCTCAGAAAACGGTACTGATTCAGTCAAGCTGAATCAGGTGTTAAACCTTCCCAGGTCTTGTCTTATGTCTCTGCCTTCATGAGGTCAATCATCTGTCCTCTCTGCTCAGCACCTCAGCTCCCAGCTGCAGGCTCAGAGACCCTCTGGGTCCCAGAACCTCTGCTGCTTCTTGGGCCATGGTTGTCCCTAGCCTGGGCCACCTGGCCCTGGGAGAACAGAACGAGTGAGCTGGCAGTCTCCACAGCCCTGAGCTGTTACCTGATGACAACCTGTGTCCCAGCCCTGGGTCAGGATGGGACAAGTCCCTACTCTGAGGAAGGCCCTGACAATGTCATTCTCAGGGCAATGGCACAATCCAAGACCAGCCCACTTCAAGTGACAGGAAGAAGTGGGTCCCCAGGGACCTTCATTGAGTGACGTACCCCTGAGAGTCTGCAGGGGCAAGGCTCCTAACATCCCAGTGGGGTGTACACACATGCACACACAGTCACACAATCACAGTCACACATACTCAGAACATTCACACACCCACAGACACTCGGCACAAGCATAGACTCATTCACACATACAAACTCATACACACTTGTACACACACTCACATACATTTACACTCATCCATAGACACACAAACTCAGAAACACACCCTTACCTACACACTGGCACACTCACACATACACACACACACTCACACTGATATACACACACTTGTACACTCACACACACAAACTCAGAAACACACCCTTACATACACACTGGCACACTCACACATACACACACACACTCACACTGATATACACACACTTGTACACTCACACACACATACTCACACATACCAACACACTAACTCATACCTCCTTCCTTCCAAGATTTCTCAGCCACCTCACCTGGAGCTAGATGTACTTGGAGCCTCACTTTTGTCCAGGAAACTTGCTGTATCAAAGGCATCTTCCAAAAGGACCTGAAAGCAAGCACAGGCCTTCACATCTCAGAAAATGCTTTGTGGCTGACGCCTGCTCTGGGCTGCTGAGGGGAGACAAGTAGGAAGGTACTCTCTCCTTGCACGGGGCCCAAATGACACAGGTCAAAGCTGGTGGACCAGGGCCTCTGCTCGCTGCCTGGTGGTCTTCCTGGGGCTGGAGTCCTGAGCTCCTCACTGCCCAGAGCAAACCACCAGCCCCAGCCGGCAGACAGTTAGGGGAGGCTCTGGGGCCTGAGTGTGGTGACAGCATCCCTCTGAGCCCAGCAGAGAGGAAGAGAGGGTCAGGGCATGGTGACACCACCAAGCTCCAGACTAGCCAGAAGCCCACCCTGCCCAGGGACTGTCCTACATGGGATTCCAACTTTCTTCCTGGTTTAATAATTAAACAGCTTGCAGCTGAAAGGGTACCAACTGATACAGTCTCCTAAAATCCCCACAGAAAGGCCAGGAAACTCACAGGAGAAAAAGCATCACCAGTCCCTGGCCATGGAGATTGTGCGGGGATTATATCAGAAAATCAGGAGCCTTCTAGAATCCAGAAGGCTGGTGGTTCAAACCCACCAGCCACTCCTCGGAAGGAAGGTTGGGCAATCCTACTTCCGTAGTGATACTGCCTCGGAAACCCAAGG